CCCTCCTCCCCCTCCCCCTCCCCCTCCCACTTCCCTGTGCTCAGGTGGCAATACCACCACTCCTAACTAACCCTGCAGCCTCCTCAGGCCTTGCCTCTTACACTCTCCCTCCTCTACTCTTCTAGACCTTTCCATGCTGTCTCCTTGCCCATCAGATCTGTATACATCTAGACTGTAGTGCCAGGAATCATAGAAAATAGCTTACACACACACACACACACACACACACACACACACGGTAGTAGGGAAGGGAAATGTGTTTAAATGGTGTAAACTAGTTATTATTTTCAGCTCAGCTTTAGTGCTGGACTTGAAGGGACATGGGTGCTTGTAAATTGTACGTTAAGTTTTATACCAAGTGTCTCCTTCCAAGACTCCATTTTAAACCTGTATCACATTGATTTCAGTTTTATAACAAGTTTAAAAAGGCAGCTGTCTCCCCTCCAAAAAGACTAATACACAGAATACTAACAGAGACAGCCTCTGAGTATGGAAATTATGACACACTTTTCCTATATAATCTTCCATATTGATGTTTTCCTATGGTGAGCGTACATTATTTTCAGATAAAGTTTTGCGTCCTCACTTAATAAATCATTAGGCTGGGTACAGTGGCACATACATGGAATTCCAGCACTCAGGGGAATCAGGCTGGAGGGTTGTGAGTTCAAGGACAGCCTGGACTGTTAAGAGACTATATTAAGAAAAGAAAGGAGAGGGAGAAGAAAGGAAAGGAGAAGGAATGGGAGGGAGAGGAAAGAAAAAAGAAATCATCGCACCCAAAACTGCAAATAGATTTAGCTTACTGATACATAAACAAAAAAATAATACTTCTAAAACAAGCAATTTGGGTCAAACACAATAGATATGTTCTGGAAGGGTAGAATTCAGTTCACAATGAAACACATCAATGTTAAGAAAACATGCTCGTGAAATTTTATCCTAATCAGAAAGACAAAATGGAAAAGTACGGTTGAATGGCTAGCTAAGTGTTTAAAAGATATTCCACAGAATTTAGTAACATTTCTATAAAGGTTTCTTGAGACTCAGAAAAAGAGAAACATCTAGCTATTTAATGCCAGCTCACAACCAAATTCCGAAGACCGAGGTACCTGCTACCTGCGATACTGTTGAATGTTGTTGTGGAGCTTACTCTCTCATTATATTCTCATTATATTTCTTCTAATATAACAAGAAAAGGAAGAAAAAATTATGAA